CATTGATATCGATCAAACTGAAACCATTAGCATTCCCAAAACGACTTCTCCCTGCAAAGCCCAGTCATCTTGATTTCGAGAAAAAACAATGATCTAAGATGAAGCCGATATGTTGTTCTCGAACGAGTAGATAACTTCAAAATGTTTTAGAAATATACATGGATTTGCACCAAGTATTAGAATAAGTTTTCAGAATGAACATATTATCGAATTCTTAATGTTTGAGTCACTTATTGGACGTATAATGATTGATTATAACACATCGTTTTTTATACATTGTGTTGCTAAATCTTTTAGTATTTAAAGGCTAGTGTTATACTTACCTCCAGAAATGCCAACGTGTAGCATGTTTCTCATTGTCGGAATGCGATTATCAGTCCTTAATCGATTACGTCGCGGATATTTCATGAACGAAGCCATATTATGGGTGCCATGAAAAGAAAGGGCACTTTCTCTGAGAACAGAAATATGAAAATGAAAATGTACAATGAATGCCGTGTAACTTAAAACTTAAAAATAAAAAAAAATTCACTTGGAACAAGGAGCACGCATCTGCAGCTTTCCGAATATCAAAACCATTCGGCAAGAACCACATGTATGGCCTTTCGGCAAATTGCCACAACAATGGTTGTTCTGTATTTTTCAACCATTCTTCCTCGTTTTCTGCTATGGCTAATCGATATTTATATTTTCTACAAAACTTCGAGAAGGAAAGAAATGTCACATGTTCATCAGTACCGATTATACCACGTTCAGCAATTCACAATACCCTAATGCAGTTACCACTTGAAATTAAAAGATAGTGCAAATGAAATTATCCAGGAATAAATTTTTTTCACCTGGTTTAGTGCTTATCCCTTATCTCCTTATCTCCTATCGAATTTTACTCTACAGAACAGAAAGCAGATATACCTGTATGAAACATTCCTTCTAGAACAGAAACCTTTTGAGACGGTATGAAAATCCAGAATACGCAATGATCCACCAATGCATTCATTAGCTTTATGATTCCAGTCATCGAGTAGGTTATTTTTGCCTTCATCCGCATTTTCGATGGGAATTTGCATGATAAAAGCGTTTCGTATTGCGTGCACTCCAGCATCAGTTCTGAACTAGTTATGTTGGGAATGAGTAACTTCGCAGGAAAAACTTTAGTATTTCCCTATGTTTCCAGGATTACTGAATTGCATTCGCAACAGCTAAAGTCTCTGAATTTATGTGAAGTATTGTTGAACGACAAACCTGCTCGATGGCGAAATTTTCAACTGCTTTGCAACATCTGGAAAAGTTTTTCGAACAAGTGCTTTCAGAAAACTAAGCACACTATAATTTATGCTTCCATTAGCAATCGACAAAAAACGAGCACCATCATAGGATGCCCACAATAAATACCGATATGCTTCGCTTCCGCACATCCGTCTGAATCTTTTCACAATTCCTAAGAACTGAAAACGAAACAAGGACCTAATAAACAAAATAAAACTTTACTAGGCAAAAACAGCGATATGCATTTCCAGCATTACAACCATTTCACTACCGTGTATCCCAACACCTCTGCATGGGTTATTGATTTGCCCTACCTGCTGTTCATGAGGCAATGAGAGTAATACGTATTTCGACTATTATGGTATACGAGACTGCTAATTCTACTTGAATAATCGTTCTTCAAGTGATATAATTATCGCTTTTGTCAAAGAAAATATACGGTAATCTGAAGTGAAATGCACTTTAATAGCATGTGGACAAGACACGAATATAACAATATGAGCGACAGCATTACCAAAACTGTTATTAAATTTGGTAAATACTAGAGGTAAACAATTCATATAAAAATAAAGACCTTAACCACTGTAAAGAGTAGAAGGTAGAAGAGAAAGAAGCACAACCCAAATAAATAAGTCTATATTAAATGGAACAGAAAATTAAATAGAACTACCAGTAGGTGACAAAATAACATTGCAAATAAATGAACAGACTTCATCAAGATGCTGCTTTTACCAATGCCTTATTCCATAATCAAAACCTTTCAGGAGAATTATGATACCAACAACCATTAAAAGGCAAATCACAACTTTTACCAAATCTGTTCTATAAAGAAAAATGGAGGAAAAGATTCAACAAATTTACCGCAACAGCAAAAGTCTTTAAATTTGTAGTGAGTCGAGTTATTCGACAGACTTCTCACACTTCAATAAAGACGTTTATCGTAACTGAAAACAGCTATTAATTATTTCAGACGTCTTTTCAAGCGTTCAAAGATTGTTATAAACAGCTCCTACAACTAATTTTTCTTTAAGATATGATTTGTTACGTAGAAATCAGATAAACTTACGAGTGCAAGGAATGCACTCCTCCCTCAATTTGTGCATTCGATGAGCGACGCTCAAATCTGATTTCACCACGAGCAATACCACTCCTGGAATAGCACTATTTTACTTTTCGAAAACATTCAGTAGCATCCCATAATGACGAAACAAAATTAAAGATGCAAAGAGACATAAACGTTATTATGCAAAAAAAAAACAAAGATGAAAGAATTAAAAAAAATCCTATTTAAAGAAAGGACCTGAGTTCATCTAAATTTTTGACACCGATATCTTGAAAACCGTGCTGAATTCCGCGCACTAAATATGGAACAAATTTATGGATGCTTCCTCTATCTCTCATCGTAGCAGACACTCCTTGAGCAACCTTGATCGCATCTGACCTACTTCAAACAATTTCGTTTTAATACGAATATATTATAAATAACATCTCTGACGTGGAACAAATATTTAATTATATGAATTCTGCATTAAGAAAAAGAACTTTTATGTACATCTTTTAAAAACAATACCGTTCAAATTGCAAAGTACAATGATATTTCTGAAAAAAAAAGAAATTACCTGCTAAAATACCTGTCTTGACTACTAATATTTGCTTCCATAGCATCCAATGAACCCATTCCACGATAATTCTTAAGACGCACACCGCTTGGACCCCAGAAATATTCGCCAGGAGCTTCTGTTGTGCCTGCTAAAAGACCACCCATCATTACTGTCGATGCGCCAAGTGCCAAAGCCTGAACTCAATGGAATTTTCAAATCACAAAAGTTACGCGGAAGAAGTATGACTAACAAATCTATCACAGCATTACCTTCGTGATATAACCAACATCTCTTATTCCGCCATCAGCAATGACGGGAATTCCACGAGTCTTCGCGTACCTTGCGACTTGATATACTGCTGTGCCTTGCGCTCGTCCAACTGCAGTAACTAGAAAATAGACAAACGTGAAAATATTGCTGTTACACAACCAACACAAGACAAAAGATTTTCTAAGCTGATGATGGTATTGCTTCTGAGATGCACATATAACAGAAGAGATCATATGCTTATAAAACTAAATAAAAAATATACATACTTTCTTGAGTAATACAGATTGAACCACTGCCCATACCAATGCGAATGGCATCTGCTCCAGCATTAATTAGCATTTCTGCTTGTTTTTGCGTCACAACTGAAAATACGAAAATGTTTAGAAAAAAATGCACTAGTCCAATGAATGCAATATCTCCAGTATCAGATACTTATCTCACATTTTTCTCTTGTGGAAAAGTTAAATTTGAATAAGGCAACATTAGATTATGTTTCAAAATATTCATTTGCCAAATGATCACATTATTTCACCCTGCACTGAAAGATTGTATCCAACTAGCGATCGGAAGAAGACATCATACTACATTGGTCAAAAATCACACACGAAATAGTTTGCTAGGTATACGGTACAAATATGTGATATGGGGAAAATATCAAATCCTTTAATCCGGTAATTCAGACATATTCCAAAAACAAAGTAAAAAAAAAAACAATATAACGTAACTTGCCATTGCCAGCAATTATCTGTGGCGTTTCTGGATAATTGTTCTTTATCCATTTTAAAAGATTCACTTGATACATGCTAGCACCTTGTGAAGAGTCCTGCAAATATTGTAATATTCGTAAAGTAATGCAAAGATCTACCGTCCAAACATAATTTTAGAAAATCTTTGGAAATTACTTTAGTACAAATAAATGACAACCGGACTTTTCGCAAACAACTTATAATCGTCATACATATATTTTCCTGCTTTGTTCTATTTTTAATAAAACAAAGAAAAACAAACAAACATTTCCTAAATTCTATAAAAAAAAATGAAGCACAGATGAAATAATCATCGGACATTGGCATGTATAACGAAAAGTTTCTAACAGCACCCTTTTTCTTTATTAACATTCCTTCACCATAACTTCTTTACCTCACGATATCTTTCAAGGGTTTTTTTTTACAAATGATTAATATAACTGAATCATTCCAAATTAATAAAATGAACTTTCTGAGTCAATTTACAGTCCAGGAGAAATACGCTTGTTCTATGGAATAAAACTATCTGTAATGGGAAAAATGAATGAGCGATATAATACAAGAAAACTGTTTTATCAAATTCAGATAAAACATGTAATGCTGTATGTCTCTACACTTACTCATACGATTAAACCTTCCTGAACATGAGTCTAATTATTACATTAATGAAACTGCTCTTGTGATCTTGACGCGAGAGAATGTGAGGGGAAGGATGGTGATCAACATAAAATTTATAACTTACAATGACAAGAACATCAACACCAGCTGCAGCTAACTTCTTTACTGCCTCCTTTGCAGATTCTCGGGTATTTATAGCTGCACCCACTCTCAACTGTCCCTTCGAATCATATGAACTCCACGGAAAATCTCGAGCTTTCTTTAGATCAGTACGAGCTATTAAGGACACCAATTCATTTTTATTGTTAACAATAGGTAATTTTCCTGGAAAGATATCTAATTAGTAAAAACATACAAATTAGCAATATGCAACGATATTCGGTCATATGACTCAAACATTGCTTCGCTCATCATCTAAAGAAACAGATATTTCAAAGGCATTGTTAGCCAATAAACCTACCGTTTCAATTAAAAGCAATAAATAATCATTTACCTTTCTTCTCATCTTCTAAAATCTTGTAGGCATGTTCTAAAGTTAGATCTTCACTGCCTGTTATAAGCCGGTGGAGAGGGACCATTACTTCGCTTATTTTCGTGGTCGAATATTTGTCCTCATCAATAAAGTCTACATCACGTGAAGTTACTAAACCTATAACTCAAAGATTTAAAGTGTAAAACAAGTAGATAAGAACATACAATTTATAAACTAACATTTCAAAAAACCGCAAAAAGCAGGACCCAGTCATTACTAATTTTTTCCCTACCTGATTCGTTTTTGAAAAGGATTATATGAACCAGGTAACAGAAAATCTTTCGAAAAAAACATACCTAACAACTGGCCCCCAACCTGCCCTGTTGATGTAACTGGCGTCCCCGTGAAACCGTATTTTAGCTTTATCCTCATCAAATCTAATACCGTATCGGTCTCTTTGATACAGTGAGGATGTGTTATAAACCCTTGCTTGTAGCGCTGCAAAATTAACCAAATAGTAAAAGACCACATTGTTTCAATTTTTTCATTTTTTATCGTTCCCTGGTTATATCAAACAATACCACAAGCAAGACAAAAAAACATTCGCAATTCCTAAAAATATCTCGTCATATCAACATCTCTGCGTAGGTCCTCTTAACGAAGTAAGCTATTGAAACATTTCATTTAATTATCACATTTTGCGGAGAGCCAAACAACACTAGCAGTTCGACTAAAATTCTACCAAATCAAAAAAAGCATACTCATAAATTGGAAAGTTGGAAGGTCTTCAAAAATACGAAAAAATATTTAAGCAAATCTTCACCTTCACTTTGATAACTTCTTCAACTTGCTCTTCCAAAGAGGCGAAATTGGAGTGAATTATACCAATACCACCATGTAACTGAAAAAAATCCGAACTTTATAAGGATAGTTCTTGCTATCTGACTGACTAATGCATGTCATTTCTCATGAACGATCCAATCCCTATGAACATAGCTGGCTCTTTTAGATCATAAGACTTGTGCATGATACAATATTCCGCTAAAGTCATCTGCCAATTAGAGGACCATACCTATACAATTAATTATTATTATTTGTCAAATGAATCTACTACGTTTCGGCAAACAACCTACACACATTTTATGCGCTAGTGTTTTTTCCAGAATGACGCTATAATGTTGTACATCATCCATAAACATATACTTTAGGATACAATGAATTAGCATACGTCACCTATTGATAATCTAAACGATAACTGACCGCCATAGCAATTGCCATTTCGCATTCAGTTACTGTATCCATCGGTGATGATACTAAGGGTGTTTTAAGTATAATATCCCGTGTTAAATGAGTTGTTAAATCAACGGAAGAAACGTCAAAACTGATATAACCCGGCAATATATTGAAATCACTGAAACAATCATACTACGAGCAGACAAACATCATTCAAAATGTTTACTTTCACCTGGCTACTCAACAATTAGCTTTGTATCCATTCAATTTTAATAGAATTTAATTAAATTAGCCTGGAAAAAGAAGAAAGAAGAAAAGAAACACAAATACTTGTATGTTAACCCGACGTGACTGCTCATAAGTTCGCCAATTGTCTGCCCATCTTCATTAATTTCGACAACATTATCACCATCCATTTTCATAACCTTGCTATAAATTGTCAAATTTCTTGAAAATGAGCTTCATTTTCATATTTTTAAAAAAAATCAGTCGGCTTTATTCAAAATTTGAAAACTGTGTGCACACTATCACTCTTGAGAATCCGAAGATAACGTATCTTTTAAACTAGGAAAACAAATAATTAATGGTCAAGCATTACTGAAAAGGAATTTTGGATTGTCACGGCATCACCTATTGCAGCGAATATATCCTAGGAAAACTAGAAGAAATTACAGAAAGCCTGGACAGAATGTTGCATTCACCATTACCGATATATGAATGTTTCTCAGGTGACACGTTTTTATCACAAAGAATAATTAGAGAGTGAAGACATTTCCACTTGCCAGAATGATGCGGCAACTAATGAGCAAAACAAAAACTAAATACGCTTCCCCCGTCTGCTTAATGAATTTATGGAAATAACACAATCTTATGTCTGTCTTTTCGGATGTTAGGACTGGGTCACTGATCACACATAAAGTAATGCTGATCTGCTTCGTTATACGGTAGCTATCACATTCGCTCAATAGTCCCAAAAGGTTTTACCATTGTTGCGAAGTTAGAGGAAGGTATCACTGCTCTCAAAGAACCAGGTGCAGTTACGAGAAATTAAAAGGAAGTTATTCTCAAGTTCCAAAAACCGTGTCATTTCGCCTCAGGTTCGTTTAGCTTATATATACGCGAATTCCAATATTCTTAGAATTGACCGAGGTGTTCCAGTCTTTAGATATACCTGGTGGCTGTGGCGAGGGAATGTAAAATTTTGGTGAACATGAGTTTGTAGGCCAAACAGGGTAAGTAGAGTTAATAGTGTCCATTATATTAGTAGGTCTGATATGTAAATTGAATGCGCTTTCATTAACTAACAAAGGTAGGATTTCAAATTTTCAGTCGAGGTTCATTTTAACACCAATAAGCTCGTAAAGCCATAATGGATTTTTATGGAGAACGTGCGCGGTCAGCATATACTCATCTTCATCCCCGTATAAGATTCCTTTGACTAAATTGGAACTGTATGCAACGAAGAATTAGCAGGGTAGACTGTTAACTCGTGTCACGGAAACAGAAGTTAACAGAACAAGATTCTTGTAGCAATTGCATATCGCATTCACAGTGCCGTCCATTATTTTTTTTTAACGTTTCTTTCCATAACATCAGGAAAGGCTGAACACATCTTTGCCGCATTCCTGCACCGATCGCAGTTTTCATGGGATGTTATCGTAAGGATGTGTTCGAAAAAAGATGCTGAGACCTTGCTCGAAAATAGTTTCGTCAAGCGAGAACTATCTGTCTCGAATTCTATACCGATCATCTAACTGATGGTAATAATACTCAAACGAAACAAAATATGCCACGAAACGAAATTAATTCGTTCGCACTTATTGTGTCTTCTTTGTCCCATAAAACTGCTCCAAATATTATTCCAGTTCAATGGGTGTAGTTAAAACAAAAAACTTAGATTTTCAGTTTACTAAGCAAGTATCAGCAGTCTCCGTCTATTTATCAAAAATTGCTCTCGTGAATAATTACAGAAAATCAGAAACACCTATTATTTGTTTCCTTCGCAATCAACAGAATGATGCAAACGACTGAAACCATTTCTCTATCAGTAGTGAGGTTAAAAATTTCAGAATGCATAATAAATAAATCGAATGACCAAAATAAATGTATATTGCACGACACTATTTTATCAGTTAGTTGTGATGTACGAGAATAACCCACCATTAAAAAAATATGAATCTATAAAGGAAACTTGACTCATCACAAAATCATTCCGGTACATACCAAGTGCGCATCTATATCTAGACTCATTTTGATTATTTTGGAAAGTATGATAAAAACTAGCGAACTCTTTGCAGAAGCCGTATGTCTATGTAAAAATACCATAAACTGTGACCTGAAGTTTCTTTGAATAGGCTGTGTTATGATAGACAATTTATCATACATAATATCTCAAATTGTATCCTCTTACATCACAGAAAACATTTATATAGCCAATAGGAGAACCACATCAAAATTAAGATCAAATATATAAACATATCAAAAAAAACTCCTAGCTTACTTATAGTACAGAACAGAGATGGATTCATTGTTTTTAAAGATACCTATAGCTTATAGACTCTGCGACATCGAAAACGGGCATCAATTTGGCGGTCAAAAATTTTGAAGGGGAATACTTTCATCTATAAAACTACCTAATAATCAGAAAACGCGATAAAAGAGCTTAAAACAAACATTGAGTGGAACCAAAAGAAAAAAAAAAACTATCACAAAAAAAGATACAAGGCGATAGATTCTTGTCATACATACTTCCTTAATTTGGCTAACGAATTAAATAATAAATTATCAAGAAGACGAATAACGCAAATAAAACAAGATAACATGTCAAATGCTTGCCGCCAGTTTTGGCGACTCGATTCAATTTTCGCATTGTTGAGCCAAGCAAACCTTTCGATGCATCGAAATCCGTTTCCATTTCATTTAGCAAACGATTCTGTTCCCTTACATCATCACCAATTGCTATCGTTATCTTCTTCAGTGCAGCCACCTTTCCGGATAGCTTTTCAACCAACGCATCATTACGATGTTCCACAAGTGTTCCATCGTTTTCGCCCATCACATTTATACCACTATTGTTTCCTCGATATGTCATACCAGGATATCATCAAATAAGTGAATATTTTTCACTATACAAACACGTAATAACTGAAAATATAAAATCATCAAGACAAAACAAGACCAAAGAGAAAGACACTAAAACGTTTTCTATCTCCTATCAATGTTTTTTCTAAATCCTCCACATTATCGCTACACCCCTATTCCACAAAGAAAATCTCTAATTTTAATATATTCAAAATCTTATAACAGCAGAAAAAAAAACTAAAAAAACAGATCTATCAGAAACTACCCGTATAAGCTGCAAATTAATACTTAAAAGTTATAGACTATTGCATCCCAACAGATCCCAATCCTACTACGGATTGCTCTAAAATTTTTTCGAATTACCAAGCACTAAACTTAAATTCTGTTCCAAATATAAAATTTGCAAGAATCATACACGGAACAGCATATGCAGGCAATTGAGAACAAAATTACTCAACATTTAATAAAATTCATACTACTATAATTTATCAAATATGGCAACAAAAAAAATAAATAGAGAACTCTGAAGCCCACTTCAAAAATAAACTCCCAATGTAAACTTATACTTAGTGAAATAAAAAGTTAAACTTGTACTTGGTAAAGAGAATTCGCCGAAATCTAATTATCAAATTATCATATGATGTCTAAAACTATTCAAGTTATTTATTATTCGATTTGTAAAGAAAACCATCCGCAAATAAAAAAAATCAGATATAACCCAACAAACTTCTATAAGAAATAAGGATAACTTTAAATTAGTGTACAAAAAAGGAACACTAATAATTTAACAAATGAAACGTTGAAGAAATGGTAACAAAAAAAAATACAACAATCATCCACTCATTATATTTGTACCCACACTACAACATTCCTCCACACTTCAACCGGATAAAAATGAATCATAAACATATCATACGCTTCGGCAACAATTCAAAATTAAAAGAGATTGTCATCCACGATGCATTCAACAATAGAAAAAGATTCTTTTCAAAATTAACGTCTAGTTTAAATAAATTTATTATTTACATAGTGGATGTTATCTAATTCGACTTTCAAATATTTTCATCATAACTCCGTCCATATGTGTAAGCTACAGAGCATAAATTACAGAATTCATTTTCTCCTTTGCTTCGTTCAGCTTTTGTGCATACGACTTCTCTGCATCGGTGAAAGCCGCTTTGGAAAGCTGCCCTTTAACAAAGCGTTCCGTCTAAAATTATACAATATTTTAAATTTAAGAGAAAAAAAAAAGGAAAAACTGCAATTATCTTTCGTTATTTCATCACACAAATTTCCCGATGTAATTTAAAATCTCAGAATTTATTTCAAATTCTATGGTGCAACGTTATAGAATACTCAGCTTTTTTGCTATATTCACAAGACTCAACACTACAACCAACAAAAGTATGAAATTCGAACAGTTCAGTCACGCCAGTTTAAGCTAGGTGTTTCGAAAATCTTACCTGTCCCAAATAATTGTTTATAACATCCATCATTAATTTGTGTATTTTATTGACTTCGTTCAGCTGAAATCAAATAACGATCACGAACACTATAACTAGCAGCTAGAAATATTACTTGATCTCAGTACTTCATTTTTTTCGGATTTACTTATTACTAAGGTGAGAACTTACACTTCCTACTTTGTACAAGATATACCATATATAATTCTAACGAAATAGAACAATAAAAAAGTTTGAAATAACCACCATTTTATTTATATAGCTGTAAATTAATATTTTATCCAATTTCAATACCCCTCAAATCCGACAATCATCGATAAGCTGGAGCTAAAATAAGAAAAACCTTGTCAGATATGTCAGCGTTAGTAGATTTTAATTCGCTTTGCAGATCACCGATAGCTTGCCCAATGTTTTTCAGATCATTCTCTGCCTTTTTTCTTGCTGTTGCAAATGCTGCCAAATCCTGAAATAATGTAAAGTAGCAATTTTTAATAAGACAGTATTACTGCTCGTATTTTTTTTACAAAAGCAAGAAAAGGTAAAAAACCTTGGTATTTTTGAATTTGTTCACAGCATCCACAAAATGATCATAAATTTTTAATCGATCAGCATGAAGATCCGTTAGCTGCTCCACCTGTCCCTGAGCTTGCAAGCGACTTTCTGTTGCAATGTCCTCAAAATGCATACAAAAACTCTCAGTATCTCATTTTAAGTTTTTCAAACTCAAAATTTAAAAAACTTTAGAGAAAATACCAAGACTGTACTGAAAAGAAACAATGCAGAGACAATGAGAAGAAAGACAATAATTTGTTACACTGTTACCTACCAATAAAACTTTTAAGACCA